TAAAGGCGTGCGCCACCACCGCCCGGCGGCTCAGAAGTTTTAAATGATAAATGCTGTAGGATATTTTTCATTACTGCCGTTATGTTCTTTTATTTCAAAGAGCCAGAGGATGAGGAGGGTCGCTGTGACATACTCTCTTCCAGAGATGGCATGGCTGTCACAATCATGGACTCACAGCAGCTGTGGTTACCTGCACAAGACCTACACAAGATCAAGACACTCGAACTTCAGGCATCAGCTGGGGTAGATGATCTCGGGGCTCCCAAGGCCCCCCCCCCATTCTGAGCAGCTGCTGGCAGTGGATGGCTGCTGGGGAAGGGCGAATTAGTCTTTGCTTTCTTTCGAGACTGTGGTCACTGGTAGATTTCCAGTGCTCTGTTGGATGGCTACACCCATGCACATGTGGGCGACACTGACCAAACACAGTGAATGTCAAAAATCAAGAGGACATGAATTTGAGATGGGATTATGTCGGGGGAGGGGAGGGAAGGAGCTGAAGGGTAATGGGAGGTAGATAAGATCATATTTCACTGTATACATGTTTGAAAATAAGAAAAAAGAACTGCATGTATGTATGCACCATTTACATGCCTTGTGCCTACAGAGGCCAGAAGAGGGTTGGAGTCCCTGGAACTGGAGTTAGAGAAGGTTGTGAGCCATCATGAGGGTGCTGGGAATTGAACCCCCATCCTCTTAAATGCTGAGCCATCTCTCCAGCCCCCAGTAGGGAAACATGTTTAAAATACTTTCAAAATGAAAAATTTTCTAAAGATGCTTTTTAAAGATGTGTTCTTAGAGTAATGGAGTTTTGGCCGGAATTCCTTCATAGTTAGTAAATATTTTAAATGTAAGTTCTATTTTATCTATACATTATACTACCACCACAGCGTTTGGGTGGACTTTTGAATAGAGTTATTTTTCATACTCCTTCCTCTTTTGGAACTGGTAAAATACAGAAATATTTATTTATATCTCCCCAAGTCTAGACTTCCATGGGCTCTGGCTATTTCGAGCCCACGTTTGGTGTTTTTAACCCTAGCACACACATTCTTTTCTTTCATCTCTGTGATTTCCAGCCACCCTTCTCAGGGCGTCTGGCTAATCTTGCTGATATTTCTGGGGCATAGATGGACTCAGAATATGTGACTGAGGAAAAAAAAAAAGTCAGATAGGACCATAGCTCTGGACCTTCCTTTTACCTAAAAGGAGATTTTCTTTTATTGGTATGGAAATGAGCAGATGTCGGATAACCTTCGCCCAACCTGGAGCATTCACGCTTACTCCAGGGAATTTCTTCAGGCTGGTGTTTCGTGGGCTTTCCACAGTCGATTCAAAAGTTCCGTCACAGCTATCAGAATGATCTAGGTTAGCTCAAAAAAGGGAGAAATTCATTCCTTGGCCCGTCTTTCTGGCTCAATGCCTTGCCTGTCTATACAACAGGAAAGGCACACTCATCACCACTCAGGAAATGTTTTATATTTACACAGTGAAACGCGACAGTGAGGGAGCGAACAGTCCTCACTTGAAGTCCCAACACGTTCCCACAACCCCACTCTCTTGTTTTATCCGAGCACTTCCACTTAAGCAACAACGCTAAAAGAGAAAGGATATAAACTGGCAAGCATTTTCCTCCTGAGGTAATAAAAGTCAGTCAGAAGGCTTTACGACCTGACACCAGGAACACACATCTCCTTGCCCAGGTAAGTTGCTACGGAGAAAAGGAATTCAGAGCAGAGTTGTCACGACCAGGGTCTTGAAATAACCAGCAACCATCTGTTTGATGGCTGACTCTGCCTCTGCTCTTGATCTCCTCTCTAGAAAATTCAAATTGCTACCCATCACCATCCTCTCTGCACTTCTTGTCTCTGTCAACACTACCACTTACCCGGTTACCCAGCAACATCCATGCCGCATAATGGTCTACCCTGAGCCCTGTCCTCCAGTGGCCACACAACTGGTCTGCCCTGAAGCCCTGTCTTCTAATGGCCACATAACTGAGCTCTACTGAAACCCAGTCCTCCAGTGGCCACACAACTCTCAGGAATGCTCAGACTCAGGTGGTAACTCCTGCAGCACCCCAGCCAATCTTCAATATGGGGGGGGGGGGACGACAATCAGATGTCCCTGCAGAGACTGTCCAACACTTCATCACTTCTCCTCACCCAACTGTCCTCAAAATCAACTGAGGGGAACTCAATGGAGCTTGCTACCTGAAAGTGGGCACAGGGAGGAAAGTCACAAGACAGCGCAGTGACAAAGAAGGGAACACATCAAATAAAAGCCTGAACGTGGGCAGCACCTTTCAACCAAAACCTCAAGTTCTACACACCCTAAATCTCAAGGATATTCTCCCACAGATGCCTGTCAACCTTGTATCTTTCTCTGAAGAACGGAGGCAAGGCACAAACCTTGCCTAGTGGCATCCAACAATCTGAATCATGGTTTTTTCACTGCTGTGTTAATGGGAAAATCAAAAAATAAGATGAAATCATAAAGAATTAATGAAAAATATTGCATTGGAAAAAATGAGAAAACTGACTCACTAATATTGCAAAATAAATTAGTGGTGCAAAATAAATTAGTGGTGCAAAAAGAACCATAACCAAACCCATCCTGAAGTAACAGGTTTCAGGGCATGCTCTTCTAGCTTTGACTTTGGAGTGACTATGTAGAAGGCTTTTCATACCACCCAATACAGTTTAATACTCTATTTGAGAAAATATTCCCCAAATACAGTTAAGCATCTTAAGTGAATTACGAAGATGATTTTTACTAATTATCCCTCAAAACCAAGTCTTTATCTTCCCAGACTCTTGTTCTCCAGGGCGAATTACATGTTGGAGGTCACAATGACATCCCTTGTTCTACTGAAACTTAACCCCTTCAGTGCCTGCAGGGTGGAGGTCCACAGTTTGCTCATAAATCCAGCACTGAGAAGAAATGCCTTGTCTCCGCTGGACAGGGCCCACCATGCAGAGGGTACTAGAGAACACAGCATTTGTTTGATTAAAATGCTGCACAGATGCTACAGAAATTGCATCTAATTAGAGGGTGGTGGTGCCTAACATATATGCACATCCCTAAAGTTATCATTCTCAAACACAATCCGCGGTTAGTTGATATTAAGGCTCCATAGCTCATAGCTCCCTTATTAGCAATGAGCTAGCCCCAAAGCATTCTTATCCCTGGCTAAGGCCTGCAAGCGCCCTTGTACCCAATGCTATCTGTGTCTTGATGCCACCCAGGCAACTGTATATGATGTTCAAATGTGCACTCAGTCAGTGACTCGCGGCTTTCCTCTCGATGCCCCTGGATCAGTAGAGCGCTAATGCTTGGCACATCCAATACTGCATCTGGAGCCATCACCTCCCTCTAATAGGATCAGTTTCTCAGTATCACTTTTATTACGGCCAGTAAATAAAATCAGCGCATATATGGCACTGCCTCTTAAGCAGTGTGAAATGAATTTTTCACGTGGCTTCAACGAAAACAAAGGCCGAGTCTATCGCACACACAACCCCATAAATCACCAAGCATGCAGTTAAGCGTCAACCTTTGTTTCTTCCTGTCCGCGTTACTTCACCCCTTCTCCTTCTCAGGATAGGAGCTTCTTTACTTTAGCACAGTCCAAAACAACAACACAAAGAACCCCTCCTGAGCATGCACCCTCAAGAATGTCCTGAGATAATTTTGGTGGCCTGCGACTTATTAGGGTTACAAGTGCCAGACCCCGTCACCTCCAGCACAGAATCTCTCAAATCTACGCCACGTTGCCAAGTCTCTTTCACCCCGCTCTACACTCCGTTTTTAGCAACACTTAACATGGATGCGAATAAATATGGACGGAGGGCCCATCAGAAGATGAGCTCCGTGTGGACAAGGATGGCCTCCACATGGACCGGCCATCTTCAGGGCTGTACTTTGAAGTGAGCGGGAAATCAAGGAATATTGGTGGGGAAAAAAATCAGCAAATAAGTCTGTGGGTGGGGAAAGGTGTTAAATCTGGGCAGTGTAGTGGGGTGTCCTGGAAGATTAATGGTTGACCTACAAAAATGCCAAACTGACAATAACCCAGAGTTAATTATTCTTGAGATAACTTCTAGATTTATAAAACCAATTCTCCTGGCGGTGATTTTTTCACATTCTAGATTTTACAACAGTCTGTGGGTGTCTCTGTAATTGAACCCGGGTATAGAAAACATCCATGTGTGTGCATGGATAAGCAGACGAGGCAAGCAGATGTGGTTACTCCTAAGCGCCGCTATTCGGAATCACAATATTTCATTTCAAAAGTCACACACACACACACACACACACACACAAAAAAAAAAAAAAAAAAAAACACAGAAAATGCCATTGAGCAGTGTTGGCAGCCTTCACAGCAATCCACTGTTTTCTTGTTTCTCTCTAACCACTGATAAAAACTCTTTGAAGTGGAAGAGTAAATATTATCATGTGATAGTACTTGGACCCAACTGTGCAAATACAACTGCTTTGTGTTCCGCTCTGGGGGCTCCTGGCCGGCCACACCACGCAGACAGGGTTGCTATGGAGGAACCAATGCGCTTATTAAATAAGCCCACGCGCAGGTCAGGATACATCTTGGCGCTTACAGTGAGCCCCACCTCTTAATCCTCCTCCCGTAGACGCATGGAGTGTTCAGGGAGAAATGCTGGCTTTGGAAAATGTGTTTCTGTGGTGCTTGGGAGGTAGGGCCACCACAAATAAGCCATGGGAACCCTCAACTGCCAGCAGCTGACTGTTGCTGCCTGCCCCTTTTGGCATGCTACTGCAGGATCGCCGGGCAGGAGGGGAGAAAACAGCGAGGCAAACCCTCTGGGGGCATTCCCCTGCGCCGCCAGGCCGGTTGCAGAGCTAGGGGCCTCACACCCAGGCACCCCGAGGCAGCATCTTAGGGTTGGGGCGCAGCTCCTCGCAAAGCACCCCTCAGTGGCTCACCTTGCCCGGGAGGGGTCCCGGCAGCAGCAGCTTGAGAGCCTGCCTCTTCAGCTCCACCAAGCGGGCATTGCAGTTCTCGCACCAGACGCCGCGGTCCGAGCCGGGGGAGGAGCCGCCGCCGCTGCCGGAGCCCGGGGATCCAGTGCCGAAGCCCGGCGAGCCGCCCAGGGAGCCCGGCGAGCTGGTACCGATGCCCGGAGATGCGGGGCCCGGAGAGCCAGTGAAGGAGCTCGGGGACGAGGTGCCCGAGCCCGGGGACGGGGTACCCGACGAGCCGAGCGCAGAACCCGCGCCCTCGGGGGTGGGCCGGCTCCCTGAGCGAGACTCCTCGTATGCCTTGCGGTACCAGCTCTCGGGGGAGAAGGGCGCGGCGGGCTTGGTGGGAGAGCACACTTCATTCACCTGCCGGAGAGACACGCAGCGTCAGGCCCTGCGGGGCCACCGGTCCCCGAGCTGAGCCTGGAGGGCTGGGGGCAACCGTCCTGCTCGCACTGCTGCGAACCTGCCCTCCATCTAGCTCCATCCCTCAAGTGACCTGGCCTTAAACGAGTCGTGTCCCACCCACCCTCGCCAGGGTGACCGCGCGCAGGTCCCCCTCCATTCCTCCTGCAGTCGGCAGGAAGGCTTGGGAGGTTTGGGTGTCCTTCGGGCTTCTGCGAGAACACCCAGAAATCCAAAGCCCCGCTCTTTCAAACCCGGTACCCACCCCCCAGCAAGAACCTAGCTACACACACGGTCCTGGAACACCATATCCAAGGGGTGGGTGATTGTGACTTCGGGGTATTTACTCATTCGGGTACAGCCCTCCGGGTCCCGCAGGTAAATGAAAGGGGCTCCCCGTTCCCGGGCAGAGAGCCGAGGGAACCGCAGAGGAATTCCTGGGAAACGCTCCCCTTCGGTTTAACTCTGCCTCCAAGTCCCGGAATACTGCAAAAGTTAAGGGTGCGGGAAAAGGGAGGAACCGAGGACCGAAGACATTCCGGGAGCCAGGCGAGCTGCAGACCCGCCTCCACGCACGCACGGCCCCGCCGCTCGTGGAGACGCCGGTGCTCCCGAGAGCTGGGGGGCCATGAGCCCGCCGCCGGTTCCCAGGTAGCGGAGGACACCCGCCCCGATAGGTCCCCGGGAACGCATCTCCGCGTGGACGGCGCCACAACTTACCCCGTATTTCTTGCCCCTGGTGGAGACCGCAAGCCTCTCTTTATTTCCAGCTACCGAATTCATGGTGGCTCTTCCAGAGGAAAGGGTCTAAATGTTCCCACAACGCTACATCCAAAAGGTCTGCCAACCCAGAAGGCGTCCCCCCTCGTGGTAGGGGTTGGTCCTCAAGTCAAGAATTCTTAATGGGGGGGTTGGGAAGAAGGCAAGCAAATGGACCCCAGAAGTGATAGCACCAATTTGCAGGGAGGGTTGAAGCGGCTGGTGGCTCTCAAATAATGGGTTTCCTCATCTCTCTCTGCCTCCTCTAGCCACGCGCCCTCTCTCCGCCGTCACATCCAGATCGCTGGCATTTTCCTCCGCCGGGCCAGCGCGTTCTCCTCCAGCGGAGCCGAGAGGGAGGAGGACCGCGAGGGCGCTGGGCGGCTGCAGGGAAGGTGGGCGAGCCCTCGCCGAGCCGAGCCGGCGGTGGGAACTTGCCTCCTTCCCCCGAGCTCGCTAACTGAGTTCAAAGAAATTCTCCCAAAATATAAGGATCCAGACTCGGGGAGGAGCCTCGGCGTGTCGCCGAGCCAATATGCGCCGGCCCGTTTTCTCCTGACAGTTGCGCGCAGGGCAGGGAGAGGGCGGCTGTGCGCCGGCGGCGGCGAGCAGCTCGGGGTCAGGACGCGCGTGTGCGCCCGGGTGCAGCGCGGAGCCTAGGGAACCGCGACCCCGCCACCTCGGAGCCCGCCCGGCCGCCGCCGCCGCCGCCGCCTCGCCCGCCGCGATCCATTTACGGCGCGGCGCTCGGGCCTGGCATCGCCAGGCGCAGCCGGGGCGGGGGTGGGGTCGTAAATCTGGCTCCGGGCGGGGAAGTTGCTGGCGAGGGGCCCGCGGCCGGGGGCTCCGGGGCTACCCGCGGTGCGAGCCTGCAGCTCCAAGCCGGCCGAGCTGCGCGGAAACGCGGCGCCCGGGCCTCCCGGCCCCCCCGGGAGCTCGTCTCTTCCTGGCAAGGCGTGCAGGTCTGCCTTTGAAACGCCGTGCAAACGGATTGAGTCACAAACAAGTCCGCAAACAGGCCGGGGCCAACCCCCCGCCCTTTGTTCTCCCAGACCTGCCTGGCAAACCTTTCCTTGAATCGCCCTCTCAGCCCCAGCCGGCCAAGGGGTCCTTCTCCCCCGGATCCCCGGCCTGAGCACCGGGGAGCCTTCCGCCCCCGCCCTCCCTCCGGCCCAAGCCCCTGTTAGTGATGGGGAAACCTCCCGAGACAGGCACAGGTGAGCCAGGGACCCAGCGCGCAGCTGCCGGGCTGGGGAAACTGAGGGATTGGCCGCGCCGCACACGCGCGGGAGGACTGCGCGGGCCTGGAGAGGGGGGTGTGGCGCGAGCTGGCCCTGGCTTCCGGGCCGGGATCAGTCCCCTCGGCCCCTTGCGCGTTTGCCTGTGAGCACCCGGACCTGTGAGATCTCCAGAGCACCCCAGCTGTCGCCCTCTGTCTGATTCCCGTCCCCCACCCCCACCTCGCGCAGAGCCCCGGAGCTCAGGAAGCCGGTGTACGCCGGGCTCCACACGTGGCTGCTCCGGGGTGTCATTTTTCATTTCCCGGGAGGACATTTCTTCTGGTGAGCCGGCAGGTCTATTTTGTTGTGACCTTTAATTAACACCCCGCGAGATGCCTCCTGCAGGACCAGCCGGGCGCGGAGATCACGTGTGGTGTAATGGCATCTCGGCACCCCGGAAAGACCTGGCCTTGGGCTAGGCGGGGACAGGGAGACATTTCGGGCTTTCCTAGCCGCTGTCTTCCATCTGACACATGGATAAGCAAGGAGGGGGGACAGAAGACAACAATTGGGGTGCTGGAATCCTGGGGCAACGCCCCCCATCTTGTCTTCCTGCTGTAACCTTCTGTGCCTTCCCGGCGCAGCCACCCCCCGCCCCGCACCCTCCGCAGCCAGTGCACCCGGGATATTTCACAGCCTCCAAAGCGAGGCGAGAAGGTCAAAATGAAGATGTTGAAAAACTGTGGAAGTTTCCATTACATTCCTACTTCCAATTTCAACGCGATCATATCTGCAGAGGACCTTAGGGGGACAGGTAGCCTCCAGGCAGCACATGCCGGCTGCAGCCACATCTGTATTCTGCCTAGGTGCCGCGGAAAATATCGTCGCCATTAGCTACGCGCGGCTTATCAGTCCCAAAGCAGCATGTGGCCAGGTGAAATGGACGAGCCTATGAAGCCCCGAGTGGGAAAGGTGGGGTGTCGATGGGGGGGGAAGAGCCATCGCTGAGCTGCGCGATTCACCCTCAAGAACGATGAGCCCAGAGCGGATCTGATGTGCATCCAAAGTATCTGCGACCCACCGCGTGTTTGATGAGCTCCGAGCGCCCTCTGTTGGTGAAATTTTATATCTGGCGGCTCCCTCAAGAGAGCTGATGTAAAATCTACATACAGTGAAATGCGTAAATTTTAAGTATAAAATTCCATGAGTTTATATATATATGTGTGTGTATTATATATATATATGTATATATATATACATATATATATATATATATATGTCTGGTATAGTCCACTACTCAATTAAGATGTAAGTTCTTCTCATTGAAAAATATCCCTTCTTCCCAGGCAGTCCCGACTCCACATTAACAATTAGCAGTTTCTGTACCGACTTCCCGTCACTACAGATCAGTTTTGACTGATTTTGATTTTTTTTTTTTTTGTCTACAGAATCCGTATGTCTTTTGTGTTTGGCTTAACATGGGTTTTGGGTTTCCTGTTACTGTTCGCATGGGTCTGTTTCCTATTTTGCTGTCTTACATTCCTCCCTTCCGCTTGCCTTTCTTGTTAATTGAATAATGTCTTCATAGTCTCTCATGCTTCGCCTGGGTTTCTAGCTCTAATGACTCTCATATGAATTTTTGACTCGGTGCGGCCTGTTCAGGGGTAACATTGCAGAATTCACTAAAACGTACACTTCAGCAGGCCCAATTCCATTCACCTCTGTTCTTTGAGTAATGATTTAAATCTACATATTATAAAATCTACATATTAACAAATCCATAATTTGTTAAATTATGTTTTAACAAATCTGTCTTTCCATGAAACTAGGAAAAATAAGGGCTTTTTAATGTATTTACCCAGTTTTTGCATGTCTGTATTCACCATCCCCCACGCCACCCCCTGAGTAAAATTTCAATTGAATTCTTTTCTTTTAGCCTGGAGAATGGACTTCCTTTAGCATTTCTTCCTTTCTTTTTAAAAATTTACTTCTTTCATTTTATGTGTCAAAGTGTTTTTGCGTGTGTGTGTGTGTGTGTGTGTGTGTGTGTGTGTGTGTGTGTGTGTGCTGTATGCACATCTGATGCCTAAAGAGGCTAGAAGACAGTTACCAGATCCCCTGGAACTGGAGCTGCAGATTGTGAGCTGCCGAGTGGATGCTGGGAACTGAACCCGGATCCTCTGCAAGAGCAGCCAATGCTCTCAACCACTGAGCCATCTCTCCAGCCCCTCCTTCAGCATTTCCTGTAGTGACGGACTCATGGCAACAAGTTCTCTCCAATTCTGCTTACCTGCCTTACCTCTCTGTTTAAGGACTCCATTAACTGGATATAAAATTCTCTCCATGGCGGCGGCTTTTCTTTCGGTCCTTTAGAATGTCCTCTCTGCCTTCTTCTTCCTGATGAGAGGTGAGCTGCCATTGTCATGGATGTTACGTGCTCCTCTTTATATCTTTCTGTCTCAGGAGGCTGACTAAGATATGTTTCTCATACTCGGGGCTTGCTGGATTCCTAGAACCTGCAGTTAGTATGAGTTACTTTTCTGTTGCTATGATGAAATACCCCAACAAGAGCAACTTCAGAAAGGAAGAGGACCATTTTGGCTCACCGTTCCAGCGGGTTAGGGTGCACCATCTTGGGGAAGGATGGCGACAGGCAGGGAAGGCACGGTGGCCTAAACAGACAGATCACATGTCAGTCATACTCAGGAAGCAGAGAAAGAGAGAAGGCAGTTTGGCCAGGCTATAAACCCTCAAAGCCCACCCCAGTGATGGTCTTCCTCCCACAAGCTCCACCTCCTTAAAGGTTCTGTAACCTTCCCAAACAGCCGCACCAACTGGGAACCAAGTGTTTGGTACGTGAGCCTACAGGGGACATTTCCCATTCAACTGACCACAAAGTTCATCTATAAAAATTTTCACAAACTTAGGACATTTTCTGCCACTACTTACTCAAATCCTTTTACTTCCCCATCCATACCTTTCTGTCCTTCTGGGACTCCAATACTGTGTATGTATGTCCTTGGTCATAACACACAGATTACTGGTTCACTTTAGGTCACTTCAGGTCACATCGTTTTAGTTTTTTCTC